GTTTAACTGGTCATGAGGCCATACTGTAGAGTGGTTTATAGTGGTTTCTCCCATGAAGTCAATATCAAGTTCTTCTTGAGCCTTTTGGCACATAACCTGTAACTATTACTGAAATAAAAGTAACCTAGTACAAATTATGCCACTCTAGCATTTATTGCATCAAAAGCTTAATAATAAAGTAATTTAAAAAGCTAAAATAATATTGTAAACCGAAGCGAAAAGTAAAAAGCAAACAATTATGTTATTGCAAGATAAATGTTTACTAAAATATTCTGTGATTCTGTGATTCTGTAAAACATTAAATGCTATGTAAAATGTACATACAGAATAATTTTTCAATTGCTAGAATCCTCCTGAATTTGATTCACAGCCCAGCATTAATCCATCATCCTTAGAAATAATTATTGTGTTGATTTTATGTTTGGTAATAGTCCATATATATGGACTTTATGAAGATCGAACATAAGAGTGATAAAATTGCAACATTTCCACACGAACACAGCATTCCACCTTCCTGATTGGATAGACCTGTTGTACTCCTGACTTTTTAGTAGAAATATTTCCAAGGAAATTTAACAGGGCACAGATAAAAAAGAGTTTGAGTTTTATAGTTAGATTATGACTCAGTTCAACAACTTCTAACAAACAATTTTGTATGTTTGCTTCTGTGGGAATCTGTTCTGGCTCTAAAAGAAAATGAATGCATGCTTTTTTTTTTAACATAAACTGCTTTTCTAGATCTGTATGCAACGTAAGAATCACCTTTTTGGCTGGCAGTCCACAAAAACTCTAAAAACTTCCTAGCAAATCATAGTATTAAAAATTGAAATTTTTATTTAAATTTGGAATTAATATTAAAAAAAATCTTAACCATGCTTATGAGTAGATGGAACTGAAATTACTCTTATCTGGCATTTGATAAGTGTTGTATATTTTGATGGCAATAGAAAAGCAAGAACTTCACCATCTCATGTATGTACTAGACTGCAAAGCCCTTGTTTCAATTAGTGGGTAATGACACATGCAGGTTAATACTCCTTTATTAATGAGTGTGATAATCTCGTGTATGTAACAGAGGATAACTGTTTCCTAGGTCCAAGCATGGTTTGTAATAAAAGATCTACAGTTGTGGAATTCATTTAAAAAAAAGGCTACAAACCATCATAGAATGAAGTATCAGATCAAATTCAAAAAAGAGCCCTTTGATTTGGCTCTTTTTCTAGTTCAGAACCTATCATGTTAAAATCTGTCCTAAAAATATTAAAAAGGATTAGGAGTACATGGAGAACAGATATTTTGCCTCAATGGCTGAACAAAAGAGAAAACTCGTTAAGTTTCTCATTTAGTGTCTAAAAACAGCTAAATCTTAAACTATCTTGCTGAAACAAAACAGTTCAACGTTCCAAACAACTATTTTCAGGTGAAACTGTGGCCGATGAACACCAAAATCAACCAGTAGTTTGCTTGACTATACACACACAAAATCTTGGCAAAAATGTCTGTTCACTGAAAGAGTCTAGACACCCCTATAGCTAAAGATGAAGCGATTTATCATGCTGTTCAGGATTTACAACATACGTATGTTTGTGTGCGCTTCAGATTATGACTGAAATTGTGAGGTTTACATCCAAGTGTTCAGCTGCCTTTCAAGTTGAGTGACCCTAGACTATATTATCTAAATGTCCTCCTGACTTGAATCCCAAAAAGGCTCTTCTATGTGCTTGAATATTTTCGGAAAGAACGCGGAGCTTTGCTCAGGCCTCAGGAGAAAGCATCAAAAAATTGTAGCCATCTGTTAAGTATTGTGGAGTGTTTTCAAAAGAGACAGAAATGGTCCAAATCATAGTTCAACAGACTTGCAAATTTTTAAAATAGATTGCTTACTGAACTGACTTTAAACTAAAGGCACAAAAATACGAAGTGCAAAAATAGGAACCTAGTATTATTGTCACAAGTGTAGTCAAAAGGGCCAACTGACACTGAAAATACTTATGTATACTTATGCAAAAATACTTTCCTATGTAGTCTCTTAACCTTTTTTTTAACCTATCCTTTAAGATCTGTGCAGAGCTATTCCTTTTTATTTATTTATTTATTTTGAAGTGGGATGGAACAGGGAAAGCTGGGTTTTAGTGGTTTTTCTTTTGTTCCTCACTCTCCCTCACTATTCCCACAGAAGGAGGTTATTTCTGCTTGCTATTCTAGCTAAAACTACTAGTAGTTGGACAGTCTTCTTTCTGGGTCAGGCTGGATAATGTCCTAGACGCTCTGGATGTCTATTCTGAGCTCTTAACCTGTTAACTAACTGAAGAGGGATCATTCACAAAGATACTCTCATTCTAAAATATCCACTGGTCTTCAGAACAAGATAAAATACGAAACAGAAAACTTCTAGAGAGTCTAATTAAAATACTATTCCCCCGCAGTGCTTCTCCATTTCAGCACCCTGTTTTGTCCCACAGTCATTTGGTAGCTTTCCAGCTACTTGTCTTTTGTAGAAAAATTGCACACCTCTGAGAAATCCGTGTCAGCACCAGGTGCGCCTGACTTGGCAAAGCAAGTTACTTATCTGCCAATTGGTGCAAAAGTTCTGTTTTTTTTCTCTAAAACGTCCTATAGTTTCTATCACTCCAGCATCGCTGCCAGAAAGAGCAGCAATGCTGGAAATGACGGAGTGACTGACAACTCTTTTTAATGTCTGTCATCTACCTCTGCATTCCTTGCACACACACGCAGTCGAGAAGGGCACTTGTGCTAATATTATGGCTAAGCTTCTAGTACAAGGAATGCCTCAGATCGGCAAAGGAAAGTTTTAATAAAACTTTGTTTTATTTATAAAAAAAAAGTAGAATTTCAAAGAACTATGACACAGGCAACCTTTATAGTATTTACTCATTGAACTTTTATTTTGCAAATTTACATTTTTAACAAATGTTTATTTTACCTTTATTTTAAAAATATTTTTGAGATTTGTTTTTGTCTCTTTTTTTATTTTTAGCCTCTTGCAGCATTTTAAAACCAGTAACTGAATGAATAACTGAAAAAGGGAATTCTATCCTATAGTACCATACTGACACTCACATAACTCTTTTGCAAGGACAGAAACAACATTTGCACAGGCCCCTGTCGCTCGAGGAGATGTGCAATTATCCATCCTGACAAGCAGGGTGAGATTTACGAATCTTCCAGCTCTGGAAGGCAGCAAAGCACCTTCCCTCTGCCTTTCACAGGCCACGTCCCTTACGCATGTCCTCCTGCCTGATCCACCTTCATCCCAGTCTCGTTCCTATCCAACAAGAGCTGCTCGCCGCTTTGTGGCTTGGTGTGCACTTCCACAATTTTTCATTCAGTCTCTCAGGTGCCTCGTAACCAACTCTTTGTCCTTTCTCCCTGTCCACCAAGTCCTCCAGCACCTTGGTGACTCCTGTTTTCATCACTCATCTCCTGACCAGTTTCTGCTCTTCCCGCATTTGAATTATTTGCCGAGGGATCCCCACTTCCAATTCTGACATAGAGTGGCATTTGCAGGAAATATCCTCTTTAATCCATGTATTTCTGAAACATAGTAGGGCAGATGCCATGTTCAGCAGCAAAGCCACAACAAACCCATACAGCATTTTCACTAAGGGTGGCATTAAATTCACATAGCATTTGGCCAGCTCTCATAAGAACAAAAGCACAACTTTAATGCAACTTGTCCTCACATGGGCCTCTAAATATCAAATCTCTGAGCCTAAGTATGAAGATATTAGTGATTCTTGGAGAAAAAAAAAAAAAAAAGCTGTTTTTAATACCATATTTTCTCTAATTTCTAGAATAATAGAGTAGCTATTTTAGATTTTAAAAAGATGTAATAACAGCAAAAATTTATACTGATCGAGACACCACTGAGAATTCCAGATGAAACGTATTTCAGAAGACCACGGATGACTGAAAACAGAAGCCTCCGATTCAAATCAAAGGGAAAACAGAGGAGGAAGATCTAAAATCTCGATTTAGGAGATAATCCTGTCCCAGAAAAGTTTATAATCTGAAGGCAGCTAGGCAGAGCCTGGGCAGGGAGCTGGAGCAAGTTGGTTTAGGTTACGCAGAAGGTGACAGAGCTGAGTATCCACGCTGGGCCTCTGGAACGTCTCCCGCACATGCAGGAAACCGGGACAGCCCAGTGGCAAATCCCAAGAACCTGGTCACGGCATTTTCCTACCACGTGCCCATGAAATCTGTTAAGGATGCTGTGCAGTGATTACATTGTGATCTGCCACCAGTGATATGTATTTATCTGCCATATATGTTTTTACAATGGAATTTTCATGACCGTGACCAAGGCTCGGCACAAGTGCCCGGCGCAGGAGGCACCGCACGTCTCCGCTCTGGGAATTTCTTTATGACCCCCCTACACGTAAGTGTTTGGTGGGTTCAATTCGCAAGCCACTGGGCAACCACTTTGGGGCAGGTGGGTCAAACAAAAGGTGGGGCAGCACGTGAGGACGGCGCTTTGTCCTGACGTTGCAGACATTTGGCTCGATCCGTTCCCATGTGTTTTTCCACACCTAAGGAAGCATGGGGAGGTTTCCTTCCCCGTGGCCGGTATGGGCTCGTTGTGAAGGCCACGCCAGGCCAGGCAAGGCGAGGCGCACGGAGCGCCCACTGACACCCGCGGGCTGCCGCTGGAGCCAAAAACGCCCAAGAAGCGGCGCGCGCCGCCCCCAGCGCGATTCGTAACAGCCGCCTGCCGCAGGCAGGAAGCAAAACAAAACATAAAATAGTTATAAAAAAAAAGCATTAAGTAACAGGAATTGGCGCTGCTCGGGGGAAGCGGGTGCTCCCGTTGCGCCGCGCAGCAATGGCGGCAGCAGCGCTGCCCGCCCCGCCGCGCGTCACGGGCGGGCGCGTCGTGGCGGGCGGGCGGCCACGTTGGCAGGGCGGGCCGGGGCCGGGGCCGGGGCGGCACCGGCGACGAGAACAGCGAGGCGGGCGGGCGGGCGGCAGCGGGCTGGGCTGGGCCGGGACAGGACAGGACAGGACAGGACAGGGGAGCGCGGCTCCGTGTGTCCCGCAGAGCAGCGCTGGGCGCGCGGACATGTCCTCGCCGCCCAAAGAGAAAGCGGAGACGCGCGCCGGGCACCCGCCTGCCGGTACTGCCGCCGCGCCGGAGGGAGGGAGGGAAGGAGGCAGGGAGGGAAAGGAGGAAGGAAGGAGGGATGGGGCGGCGGAGCCGAGCGCGGGCCCGGCGCGGCCTGTGCCTCCCTCCGCGGCCCCGGGCAGCGGCCCCGGCGCGGGGCGGGCGCCTCGTCCCGTCCCGGTCCCGTCCCGCTGCGCTCCCGCAGGGAGCCCCCGCCCGCCCGTCGCCTCCCTCCGGGAGCGGCTCCCCAAGGAGCCCGCCGGGAAGCGGCGAGGCTCGTGGTTCACAGCGGAGGTTATTTTGAAATGGGTGGCGCTTGGTGAATAGTTCTGTGCAGCAGACTCGGAAAGCGGCTTTTGGACCCTCTTCCAGGTGTGCTTTTCACTCCCTCAGTGGTGCCGAGGCTGCCCTGTCCCTGGGGTGTGGGGATGGCCCCAGGACCCCTTCCCCTGCTGGCCCCTGGCTGACGTGAGCTGGCTCCTGGATCTGACTCCAGGTGCTTTTCCAAGCACCAGGTGTTCTCGCAGCCTGAGGCCTTGAGAGCGGCTCCTCCGAAGGCCCCAGTGGGTGCCAGTTTTCCTGCAAAGAAGTTGCTGACGTATTGGATCAGTTGAGCAAATACCCTAGAAACAAGTAATGCACAGCACAAAATCATAACGTGAGTGCCAATTTCCCTGTCGTCAGGGTATTTCAGGGTGTTTTTCCCTACTCTTTTTAAGACGTGAAGCCCCAGCTGGGTGGAAGAGCTTGTTGAGCTGCGTGTGCTCTTCATGAGGATCCCCCAGTAAATCCGATGCAGGAGGAGTCAGTTTGGGAAGAGGATGGCGATGGGAGCGGCCGGGGAGAGCGGCACTGGCACGTTGCGTCACCGTGAGGAAGCGGTGACTGACGGCCGTTCAGATTCGGAGGCCGCAGCTTGGGTTTAGTCCGCCCTTCCAAGCCGCTCTTGATCCTTGGAGAGTAATAAAGTAAAGCCCGTTTGGCTTCTTGGCAAGTGAGCAAGTTTGCAAGCAAGTTTTAATAAAAGGAAAATCGGGCATTGTTTAAAAAAAGAAAAAAAAATCATAGTTACGTGTGCCTGTAATGAGGACGTGAATCAGCCCACTGAGTACGAACTGCATACATAAAAGTATAGGGAAAACTTAGATTATCTAAAATCGAATTAAATCAGAACTGGAAAAATCCATTGTTTTTCATATGCACTGTTGGCCCTAACCTTACTAACCACGTGCCGTCCATTTGCTTCACCTGTGCATTGATCTTTCACAGAGAAAAAGACCAGAAAAACACTTGAAAAGAGAAAGGATAGAGAAAGGATAATGAAATGGAAAGAAACCTCAAGACCTCAGACTGCTAACAGGGTACCTGAAGTGTGTTTGAACTCCTTTCTGAAACTTAATAGGGCTTAAGTTGTAGCCCTTTTAAATATCCATCTGTTGGTAGGATCAGTGCCTCTGTAACACGTTGCTGAGTAGGCTTGTGCAGCTGGCAGTCACTCTGGAGGCCTGCACCTTAGTTAGAGGTGTAACTAAGTTTTCAGGTACTGGTTTCTTCTAATATTCTTCTAATACATACAGTGAATGCATAAAGAAAGGCTGTTGTGTCAACAGTATATTTATGAAGATAGAATCTATATAGATAGACAACATCTATCTAGATAGCATCTGTCTATTTAAAAGCAGAAGAATCATGGAAATAATTATGCACCTTTTTATTATTTAAAAACAAAACAAAATAAAGTATACAGCCGTGAGCCAAGATTGTGCTGGGGGTTAATATTCAGTACTATGCTCAAAAGGAAACGTGCAAAGTGCTTAAAATCTGGCGTTTGCCGTTGCTTTGTGAGTCACTGTGAACAGCAAATTATTTAATTTGCACTTTAAGGTTGCCCAGAAAGCACCGCCTCGGGCCACGAGGTTGCCTGGACTGAGCTGAGCTTGTGGAGGGGGGATATTTCTGCAGGTACCTGGTGCTTCGGATTCCTGTGCCTTCAGATGATGGGTTTGCAAGGGTGCACATTGCTCTCCTTAAGTTGGTGTAACTTTGCAAGGGTGGCAGAGATGCCCCTCAGCCGTGCTCGCTGGATGCAGAATTTCTGTTTTGCCCAGAGATATAAACTGTCATTTGCTGGATGCCTCTCTTGATCTCCCAGGTATGCACAGTACCTGTAGTAACCCTTATGTTACTACGTAAGTATGTAGTAACTCAGTTATGTGCCAGTATTCTTTTGTATAGTATTCCGCAATGGTATTAGTGGAAAAATCAAGACATTGGTGATCATAACGTTTACTGCCTTGGTCACTGGCTGCTATGTCATTTTGTTGTCTGTTTTTTATCATTAATTTTACATATAGATCCTTAAATTTTAGCAGGATGATTTTGTTGGTGATAAATTATGTATCATCAGGCAGCTGCTTTGTAAAGGGGGAGGGATTTTTAGACCCATAGGGTTGATGTTAAATTGGTAGCCACATTCTGTGGTTTTCTATCAGGTGGTGAAGAGCTTTAGCATGGAAGTACAGGAATATTGTCCAGAAGTGCTGCTTCCACGAAACGTAATCTGAATGGGAAGTAACATGAGCTGGTTGTGCAATGACACTGAATGAATTTCTAAATTAATGTAAATAGAACTGATGAAGATGAAGGAGGTAAAAACAGCTCCTGTGAGTAAGGGTTTTAGGATTTGGTTTTCCAGGTTCATGCTGTCTCATCAGGTGGATTTAATAGAAATTACTACTGTAAATCTGCAGTTTTTGAGTTTTGTTGGCAAGGCTCAGGGACATATTAATCACTTTGATTAACTAAGTTAAACTAAGTTTTTAGAGCAGCAGTTTTCCGAAAGGAAAGATTTGGGGAAAACATAAATGAAGACTTTATTTCTTTGTGATTTAAGCTCTCTGACCTTCCCTTTCCCACGTGCGGCACCGCTCACTTCTTAAGTACTGTAGTTTTCATCCTGGGCAGATTATCCCAGACGGATGGATGGGAGCGCGTGGAGCGGTGTGAAACCCAAGCGCGGGTGGCTGTCGGCACTGTCGGCACTGCTCCCCGCCACGCTCGTGGCTCACGGGGGAGATGCTCCCGTCTGGTGCCCCTGCTCTGCCCTGTGCTCACCTGTGGCAGGGCTAAAAGCAACCAGGAGCCAAGAACACGACGAGGGAAAGCAGGTCAAGAACAACCTGCCTGCAGATCTCTGCTCTGTTGCTGCAGGTGTAGAGTCCTGGTGTGGTTCCCGCTTTGCCCCATGTAGTGGGGGATAAGCAAGGAATTTCCATGGATTTGCTGTCGCTTCTCGCTCCGTGTTTCAAAGGGATGCCTTTCTGATTGCATCGTGTCCAAAACTAAATCCTGGCAAGGATTTGAAATGTGGTACATGCTTGTGTTTGGCAAAATAAAAAGTAATGTGATGCGAATAAGTTTTCCTGAAGTTTGGTTTTTATTAGCTATTTATGAAGTACTTTTCTTCATCAGTAGTATTGTTTTTATTGCTCTACATTTTAACTTGAAATTAAGAAAGTGAAGTTTTTTAACCCTTCCTGTATTATAGGAGTATTTAACATAGCAGTTTGTGGCCTTTTGCATGATTTTAGGCATCTTTTTTTCCTTCTCTTGATTGCAGCAAGTTAATAGGGGTGAGAGTTTATTAGAGTTCCAGTAGTATTGGAAGCAAACAGTAAAATGAGCCACTAGTGCTCAGAGGACATGAAGTGTCAGAGAAGGGGAGGCATGGTCAGATTTGCCACTTTCAAATGGTTTTGACCAGTTTTCAGAAATATGATTATTAAACTGTTCTGCAAAGCCTGGGGGAAGATGGGGAAGGTCATCCTTCAAACTTTCCTAAGATTTTCCCTGCTACTACTCCTACTGTTAAACTGATTTGGATTTCACTTAAGTGTTGTTGGGGGTTTTGAGTTATTTTTTGGTTTTCTCATTTGCTGCAGTGAAAGCTGGCGGGATGCGGATTGTGCAGAAACACCCCCACAATTCTGAGGCCAAAGAAGAAAAAGATAAGGATGACCAAGACTGGGAAACCAGCAGGTGAGCGTTCTGGTTTGGTGGGTATGTTACAGCTAATTTCCATCACCTTGAATATTATTGCTAAGTTGTTTTCCTTGCAGGAATCAAGCCAACAGTACAGTTGGTTTTGTGTGATAAACTTCATTTATGCAAGTTATGTGTCCCTTTCAGAGAACTGGGGGATTCAGGAATTTTTATATGTCATTTTGGGTTGTGGAGAGTTACAAAGACCATGGATATTCGGGCACAAACATGAAGCTGTTCATCTGTGTGTCAGTTCGTCTTGTTGCGGGCGGGTTGATTTCTTTTGTGTGGCACATACCCCTTTCCTGTTGACCTATTTGGCAATGTGGCATGAAAAGACAAGTCAAAATATGTGCTATTAGTACAAGCCCCTTCATTTTAGGTGGGAAATTACCACTTTCAGTGGAGAAGGGTGCCAAGACAGCCCCTTGTGCCTTACCTTGCGGTTCATCTGCTTAAAGCTGCTGAGTACCAAGTGGGGGGAAATGAAAGCAGGGAAATTCAGTGGACTGCAGCATGTTTCTGTTCATACAGGGGCACGGGTTTTGTGCTGCTTTCCTTGACTAGTTGTTTTCTTTGTAGCCGAGACTAAATTTACCTAAAATCTTTCTGCCCTGGCATACTGCATTGTTTTGCCATTGCTATTAGCTCAAGGCAAAAACAAAACAATCCCCACAAAACTGAAGAGCTGTTTTTGTGCTTTACTGTGTACGCTGACTTGGGTGATGCTTGTTTTGGATTTGAAACAATAGTAAGAAGTTGGCATTGTGAAATGGCTGTGGGAATAGAAACAAACTAAGAACTTTTAATAAGTAAATGACAACCAAACAGAAGTAACACATTTATGAGAATGAAAACATGGCTATAGTTCATATATCCACATGAAAGGCTGGAAAACTGAACTTAATGCCTTTTTTTCTGCAAGCCATTTGGTCATCTTCTATTTCCATTCAGTGGAGCCTAATTTGGAGCAGAGTTTGTAGTGGAGTCAAGTTTTGACCAAAGTAAGGAATCACATCCTGTAGCTAATTTAAGCTTTATATATAATATATATATGTATATCTGTGTGTGTGCTTGTATGTCTATATACTGTACTTTTGCAGATGGTACTTGAGGAGCTGTAGATTTGAGCAAGAGGCCATTTGCCCATAGGCAGAGTTGAGTCAACTCCAGAGGACATGGTATATGAAGTTTTCATTGCTTATCACCATTAAATTACATGTTTGCAGAGTGTCAGCCAGCTCCATGGTGAAAGATGGAGTCTCTCTGCTCCACGTCATCTATGGTAAACAGTATTTCTGATGCCCATGGGGAGAGGTTTCCATGTGTTTATCAGGAGACAGAGAAGAGCTCTTGCCTTGAGCTCTGGTTCCTGCTGTATCCATGTGCTTTCCGGTCACTGCCTGCTGTTGGTTTATGTCCCTTTACTAAGCAGATAAGGGGACATCTGTTTTTTAACTTTCTACTTTTACATTTTTAGCCGTGGCTATTTAAAGATAGGCTTTTAAGGTAATGTTCTTGATATGATGCAATCTCTATTCCATGTTACGTTCAAAGTCAAAGAAATCAAACAGACTGTTCAGGGAATTCTTGTCAGGTGATATTGGCAGCTGATAGTGTCTTAAGAGAAAATAATGAAGCAGGGAAGAGTAGTTTCTGTATAATGAGAGGGTGGGATGACCTGGAGGTTAATTTAATCTTATTATAGGCTTAGCTGAGAATAAATTAGTGATGGCAAAATTTGGCATTGGCAGGGAATTGTGGCACAAGATTCCGTGCTCTCCTGGAGTTCTCTGGGAAGGTTTCAGGTCTTTCTAAGACCTTGCTTCAGTGTGGCAACTAAATAGCAGCCCAACAGGAAGGATTTTCTGCTTTTCTCAATACAATGCATGGGGCTTTGGAAGCAGTTGGCATTGCTTTTGCAGTATGCCTGGAGAACAGATCATTGGGCCCTTATTTCTAGTATTAAGGCAAATGAAGCTGATAACGATATAGACCTTTGAAGGAGATAGGTGTGTGTGTGTATGTGTGTGCCTAAAGAGAGGATATTTTAAGGTAACATTCACCAGTAGGATCTTATTTGCCATTTGTTTTTCATAGTTGTTCAGAAACTTGGAATCCAGTCTCCATGACTTACTCTGCAAAGTATTTTAATTAACAATTTTAGTAAAATTGTTATGACAACCGACCCTGAAATGGTAGGGTTAACTTGTCATAATAATGATTTGCCATCGCTTAAAACAGTAAGTGGGAAGATGATTTTATACTAATTCTATACTAATTTTAAATCTTTCCTACAAGGCAATTTTCAACCTTGAGTACTAATGGGAATAATTGTAGATCTCTGATATATAATATTGCCTAATGATATCCAAACATTCTTCTTTATGTGGAGAAGAGCTCAATAAGAGAAGAGTTGGCACCAGTTGCTGTAGATGAACTAAAAAAAAATGTGTGGTATCCAAAGACAGTGGAGTGTTGTGTTTCTTTCCATGAAGAAGGCCCTGGAGCAGGCTTTGGGAAGCTGTGACAAGCATCCAGTATTGAGAAGTTTGCTTGCTTAACCATAGCGTTCTGTATTCTTAGTTTTCCCAGAGTAAAATTTGGAATTTGGAAAGTCACCTGCACAGGCACATCCCCCGGGCTGCCTCGTTGACCAGCTTGTGCTCCTGCTCCTCCCCATCTCTGGCATGGTGCTGCTGCAGCCAACAGGTACCCAGTCTGGATCGATGGGTCTGGACTAGGAAAGAGCCTTTTGCTCTCTGCTGCCAAAAGGCAGCAGTGAAACCCAAAACGCTGGCACTGCAGAAGTGGCCATTTGGTCCCAAATTAGGCAAGCCCCTGTGCCCCCCGTAGTTCAGGTGACAGAGCTGCCCTTTTTTTAATCCTCACTCAAACTCTTTGAGAAAACTTGACTGTTTGGAGATCAATGGGGCAAATAAACGAACAACCTGTAATGAAAGTACAGCTTTGGTTGTGCACGGCAGGAGCCAAACCAGCACCTCTGAGTGACAGCAGGGGCAGGCTCAGGCTCGTGGTACACACACTCTTAGGCTCAGGGAAACCCAAACTCCTCAGAATTAGGCCTTGCCTGAATGCTGCCTAAGCAGTTTTTGGTTACAGTTTGCTGTTTATTTAACAGGGTGCCGCTCACCAAGCTGCAAGCATTTAAATGTTGCAATCAAATCAAAGGGCAGCGAGCCTGCTACAGTGAATGCCTTCACGTTAAATAGGTTTGCTGCAATGGAACAGCTCTATCGACAGCTACAGCAGACTAAATAATTAAAGTCTGGCAATAATTTAACAAATGTTTTCAGAGTTGTTTCTAGTTATCTCTATCACATGCTTCCAGTACCCAAGTCTTGGGAGTAGGAAAGGAGGAAAATTCCTCCCTGTTTGGCCCAGTGACAGGCAACAAAACCTGATAACACACGAGTTTATCAGTTTGTTTAATGCTAAATTCCTTAGGAGTATAGTGCTTGATTCAGTCAAGGAAGACTAAATTAAGCAAGGAAGAGGAAGGCGCTGTTAAAACAGGTTCCCCAGGGACCATGTAGTCTTTTCTCACATCTCCTGGGCCCCTGTAGCTCATGGTGCTTTGACTATTTTTTGCTTTGACAGTTTGGTTCTCCTCTACATGAGCTAGTAGGACATGGTTCTGTGGCAGCTTTTTCTAGTACAAAATTCATACCCTCAGCTTTAGGAGGAGCTCCGAGAGTCGCTGAGTAATCGGATAAGGGAGATTTGGGCTTAGCAGTGTAAGGAACACCGTTTGATTATGCGTTGGGGTTTGGAGATTATTGAGCTTTATAATGCCCTTGGAAAACCTCTGCTTCAACGCTGCTTTAAGCTGGCACAGATATCTTCATCCCATATATTCCTGTATTCAGGAATGATACTGAGAGAAAAGTATAATGTAAATATGACTCCCCAAGCATATTAACTTAGATATCTTCTATATCTTCTTTTTTTTTAATACCAACACAGAACATCTTGTTAAATATGTTCTCACAAGATGCTACCTCCCCTTGCATCCATTTTCCTCTCACGTACAACAAAACTTTTCTTGCTTTCTTCAACATACAGAATACAAGTGGTTAGAAACACAGCACTTCAGAGGTGGTAGTGGAAGCACTAGGCTGTTCTGCTGGAATAGCTTAAGTCGTAGTGTCTCTGTTAAGATTTATGTGTAGAACAGCTTAAGCTGAGGTATCTCTCTTAACATTTAGGTACGTTTGGAACAAGTAAAGTCTTCGAAAATAACTCAGGCAAAATGTTCATCCTCATAATTCTTAGATATTGATAACGAATGTTCTCCAGCACTGCCAGTCACTGTTCTGAGACTGTAACTTCATACTAATATTTAGAACACACGTTGATAAATTGTTGTTCATTATTCGGTTGTTGAGGGGACCATTGAGAGTACCCTGCATACGTGCCTCTTACTAAACAAATAGGTGCAATTTCTGCTCAAAGGAAAAGTGTATCCTGCTATTGCTAAGGCCACTATTGATGGTGCACTGAGGATTAAACAATTCTGTTTCTGCTGGTGTGTTAGGGGGTTATGTTATTGTTTCACTTTATAGTGGGGGAAAAAAAATGTCAGAATCTTAAGAACTTGTAAGTAGCTGGGTTTGTGTTCTGCTCTTTCGCCCAAACATACTTGTTCTGGCTGATAACTCTGGCTGTTCTGGTTCCTTCCCTGTATCAGAGGGGTTTGGATGTCCTCAGGATGGCCTTGAAATTAATACCACGTTTTTCCTCTATATCTTGTAAGCAAGTAAAGTTACAGAAAACTCGTTAAGTCCTGCTGGTAATGTATTATTTATTTCTGTTGTGGCCCTTTGAAGCATTTCCCTCCCTTCAGGCCACATTGTTTCCCAGTCTTTATGCTCTTATATCATAACATGTGTTACCTTTGAAATTATTTCTGTATTAATGACTGGCAGTTGTCATCTCCCTTTTATATATTTCTGAAAAATCTCTTTTTCTTTTCT